GCTCTTGTTTCCTCCATTAACATCTAGAAAATATAAATCAAATAACTTGTTTGAAAGTATTTTTAAAGAATTAGACTGTGATCTATTCATTACTCTTTAAAAAGTATGTTTGAACATATGCCAGCTTTGGACTTAAATTCAGCTTCTTACTTCCAATCCTCCTCGTTTTACCAAAACAATAGCATTCTTTTGAAGTAAATATTTCAAAATCTATAAGTAAAGTACCATTTGTTTGTAACACTACATGTTAGCTGTCTGATGCATAGGATACTGTTCCTTAGGGTACATAACTGGAAGATCAGCAATAATAAAATAGATAATGGTTGATAAATGGAAGTAAGATTAAGTAGATGAGTTGAATTCTTTTAGTCATAACCATTTTCAAGTAAGTGAGTAGACTGTACTTTAAAACGAAAAGTTGTAATGAGAATAATACATTGCACTCATACACTCTTTTACCAAGTTCAAGTAATTTATCCCTTAAAACATCAGTCTCTAATAAGCATTCGTATTATCTCAGTTTTACAGATATAGAGATTGACACAGAGGGTTTAAGTGACTTGCCCAATGTCACACAGCAAGTCAATAGCAAAACTGAGATTATGACTCATAGACTGAGCCTGGAATTGGGATTTCCCAAGAGTGTGCTGCAGCGGCATAGTGATTTTGCAGAACATAAAAGTACTGTACAATTGTTTTCCAATTAAAAAAAAAAGAGAGAAGACAGGAGTGGAGGAGATAAAGCATGAAGGATAATAGCACAACTGGAAATGTGGTATAAGGATAAATTTGAGCGTCTCTATTCTGATGGTTATACCCAAATGGTCAATAAATGCAATTTCACAAAAAACAGTGAATTCCCAAATCAGACATATCCTTAGAAGCACAACTTCCATCTCAGAAGGACAGAATGAGTCCTGCTCATTTTAGTCTGTTTAGTATTGTCTCTATTAGCAATCCCGCAAGATGTGATGTTCTACACCTATAATCAAATGGTACCCAAGAAAGGTGTGAAATTCTTTCCTTCCTTTGAAAACAAACAATAAAAATTACAGAAATTATTTCTTATTTGGTCTTCACAACTGACTGTCCCCTGATTAGTATACATGAGGGACAAATATGTCAGCTATGGTATAAAATAGCATTTGAAAAATCACTTTGGTCCATTGTTGAATTATCTCTGTAAAATACAGTCATTAAAACTGAATTCTATTGTAAATATTAATCTGTCACCATTATATTTAATACTATTAAATACCAAAAAGCCAATTTTGGTAACAAGAGTCTGAATTACTGTAAATCAACACAAATCTGGAAACTCAGCACCCAATGTTAAGATCTGTTCCTACAGATTAAAATAACTTTTAAAATATCATAGAAGTTTTTAAAAAATGTGTTAAATACCAAGGGACTGGATTTCTGTACCTAGTAGTGACTGCTGCTATCTTATGACTTAACATTTGCAAAACTTTAATTTTCAAATCTAAATAGTTTTAAGCAATGTGCATGCAAGGAAGTACCTCAAACTTTGTAGTGTTTTACTGTTGTCACTTTCACAGTATAAAAGTCCTCCAATTTTTTTTCAATTCATGCTCAGAAAAATTAGTTGAGATATAAATGAATGAAAAAAGATGTTTATAAAAAAAATGCTGACCAGTTCTTTTTGGGCTTAAAAATTCCTGAATTCTGAAGGCTAGACCAGTCACATGACAGTGAGATTAATTAGAACTATCTACATGGTTCAAAACTTCTTTTCAAGTAGGTGATCTGATTAGTTATAAACAAAAATATGGAGCAACAGTGCTGATTATGTCTGAATAAGTAACTTGCAGATCACAAAGATGATTAAAGACAAAACAAAAGCAGGAAGAAAAAACATAGCATTTTTAAAAGGGTTTTAGTCTCTTATTTCCTTTCTTAGACGGGCTGCAGGTTCATGTTCTTCTGCCGTCCCTGCATCCCTTTCTGCTCCAGAGAACTTGAATACTGACCCCTTGGCCTTTGGGAGATGGGAATTCAGTGGGGAAACCAAAACAGTTATTTTTGTACACCAATTCGTAATTTATAGAAAAATAAAATGTATACAGATTTTTAGATGGCAGAAGAGTAGAAACCTGCAGCTCAAAGACAAAGCTCAAAAGACCAAACAAAAGCAGGAAGAAAAAATGCAGAGTGTTTTTAATGGACTTCCAACTCCCCGTCCTTGCCCATAAAAATATAAACTACATGAGTGCACTTGTGGGAGGACCCATAGTAGAAGTTTGCATTTAAAAAAAAATGTCAGATACATAGATTGGGTGTTTGGGTCATGGAAGGAGGCCAGAAGAACCAACAGCTAATGAAAATATTGCAGATGACCATGGCCTTGATCCTACAGTTTTATCAAGTGGGCACACAATGGTCCATCAGCGTGAATCTGATTGGCTATTGGTGCGACTAGACCATGATACAGTTATGCCTGTGGGTGTAATAATAGACTGAAGGAGTATCATGATCAGAAAGACTTGGGAACAAGAAAACTGTGCTAAAGACTTCATAAAACATTTACACTACTTTTGTATTTACATTACGAACTATTTTATCCAATGTAAGAATATATTCCAAAATTATTTGTACATTAAAAATGACACTTTCTGGTTTTAAAAAAAAGTCAGTTATTGCAATAGGACACGTTAAATCGTGTAGCAGTGCTCAGTGATGCACTTGTGTGCTCTGGAGTCACTGTGTTTTGCCTTGTGCCTCACCACACACCTGAAATCTGCATTAATCAACACTATTGTCAGATCTTTTTACTTAATTATGGCAATGCCGTAAAATATAACTTTTTCTCTGATGCCTTTTGAAAGAAAAGAAAGGGGAGAAGAAACTTCCAAAACTTTGAATATAACTTTTCTCTTCAGATATGGGAAATTTCATGGACACAGACCAGAGAAAAACAGTGTCACAAGGACAAGCTGCAGTTCTAGCCTTCCTGCACATCATCAGCTATCCCAAACCACAAGTGACTTGGTTTAGAGATGGCCACAAGATTATTCCAAGCAGCAGAATGTAAGTTGATGTGAAGTTCAAACAATTAAAGATGTGAAATCTGACTAATTACATTTGATAACAGCTTACATTTTAAACAGACTAATTAAGGTTGAAAGAAAATGAAGTAGTCATGAAGTAGCTCATCCCAAGTTTGAGATAAATGGCTATTTCAAGACTGGCTTTGAAATTCCTAAGTAATTCAACAAAATAATTCATGTGATCTTAATGGTGGTTGTACAGCAGCGGGCAGTGGCAATGGAGAATGGCTGCTTTCTCCTCCTCCCATTCATTTTCCTGGTGTGCTTTAGAGAAGTGAGTGTTTGTCTCTGGATTGTATTTACTTGAATGCATTAATTTAATGAATGCTGGTATTTACTTATAAGGCTGCATTTTATATTGAGCTCTGCTTGATGCTATTTTCCTTGACAATAAAACTGTAATCACTGATTATTTCTCCTTATTCTTTTATCCAACTGGCAGTTTTATTTCCTTTGGTCTAATTAGCAGTTCATCCACTCGTGGCAAGGTTGTTGCACTGTGATTAGCTAAGCATTATCTCAAGGTTTACTAGTTTATCCCTTACCTAAGACATTTAAAATGCCAATGTCTATCAATACACTCATGCGTTTATTTAAAGCTTTGTGTGGTCAGCTGGAGTGTTAATTTTTTTTTCGTCCCTGCCTCTTTGTTAAATTTAATAGAGAATTACTGGGTTTTTTGGAGAATGAGAATTTCTAAAGGATCCAGTAGCTGGCAGCTTATGGTGAGAGATATTTTTAGGTTCCAGGATGGCTGCTGAGCACTAAGAGTTCTTAGTAGGGAAAAAAGGCTTTTGAGTTTTGACTTTTTATCTGGAGAGTCATACTTTTATAAGACCATAAGATCAGCCATATTGGGTCAGAACAATGGTCCATCTAGCCCAGTGTCTCTGACAGTGGCCAGTGCCAGATGTTTCAGAGAGAATGAACAGAACCAGGCAATTTCAAGTGTTCCATCCCCTGTCATCCTGTCCCACCTTCTGGCAGATGGAGGTTTAGGGACACCTGGAGCATGAGGTTGTGTCCCTGACCATCTTGGCTAATATTTTACTGCAGTCCATTTATGCACTTTGTAAACATGAAAGCTAGTGTTACAGGCTCTTTTGAAAGTCAGTTGGAATTAGTGTGGTAAAGGATGTGGAGCAGCTCTGTGATGAGTTATGACTATATGGCCTGCTAATTGGGGTAGTTATTGTACGGCTATATTCAGTTATTGGAATATTTAGTGTATATATGTCGGTTTAGTTTAATAGCAGCTTGTTGGGGAAACAAACTGGAAGCAAAAACAGTACGTTGTTCCAGATGATACATCTCCTGGTAAACACTTCAGTGGGGCTAAGAGACAATGCCTGAACTCTTTACCTGTGAGGAATATACTCACTGACCCCAGTCAAGTTACAAAGCTTGTTTTGCCAATGCTGGGAAAAACAGATCAAAAGAGCTACAGGCAGCTAAAAAATCTCTTTCCAGAGGTCAGGCATTTCTTTGGGAGCTGTTTGCAGGGAACAGATTGACACAAGCAGATACCTGTTCGAGTGTCTGAAGAAGCAAAGCTTTCTTAGGCCTTCCATCAAAGGGTGGGAGAGCTTTAGGTAAGATAGATATGCATACAGGCTGGCTGTTTATTTTAAAAATCCTATTTCTTGTATCTTATGCTGCTTCCAACTGTTAAGGTTAAACAGTAGTTTGATCTAAGAAGGCTGTTTGGCATCCCTGTGTTAACCACTGGTCACGAGCTCTTGACAGGAAGAACTGCAGGTATCAAACCTAGTCAGACCTATTGGGATAAGTGCAGTGGATACCCAGGTACTGGTCTAAGAGTGGGAGAATCACAGGATTCCATCTTGAGAGAAGTGAAGGCATGAAATCTGAGACCTCAGGGGGTGCAGTCAGAGGCTAGAGAAGGTGTCAGATGTGCACCTAGCCCTCTAAAAATCAACTTGGAAGTTTAGCCTTAACCTCACCCATCACGTAGAAGATCGAATATTTGATTCTGGAAATTTTAAACAATTCCTAAAGGAGAAGGTTAAGGTCAATGGAAAAACTGGAAACCTTGGGAACATAGTTCACATTGAACGTTTTAAGAACAAGATCACAGTCATATCTGAGAAGCAGTTCTCTAAAAGATATCTGAAATACCTCACAAAGAAATATCTCAAGAAGAACAGTCTTCATGACTGGCTTTGTGTGGTCGCATCTGATAAGGAGACAGGAGCTGCGCGGCTTCCAAATCGGTTAAGATGAGGAAGGATCAGAGTCTGAGGAATAAATGAAGCTTTTACTGAAAGCTTTATACTCTTAAACAGCATACAAAAGACTAAACATCTATTTATGACAGCACTTTAACTTATTGGTGAATAAAGGTTTTGTATACTGTTTAAAAAAAAACAACTATGAAAATGTGTAATGCCTCCCTTAGGGGGACTGAACTACTTGCCTCTGGGCAAAAGTTTTCTGAGCAGCAGCCCTCCAATTTTAAATAAGGCCTTATATACACACAAGATGTATCAATTTAACTGAATCAGTTTAGAAACTGATCTGATTAGATTGTTTTGACCCTTTGTGTGGATGCTCTTAAATTGGTTTGAGTGCTTTATATTCCTAAATCAATACAAATCACTTTATATCCTATTAAGAGTGTCCACAGAAGGGGTTTGCACCCCTCTACCTAAATCAATCAACTAGTCAATCAGCTACAATATTTCCCAGTAATGACAACATTACACTTTATGCAGGCTGATGAAACATTCAGGGCATGTCTGCACTGCAATTAAAAACACGTGGCTGGCCGATGCCAGCTGACTTGGGCTTGCAGGGCTTGGGCTAGGGGGCTATTTAATTATGGTGTAGATTTTGGCTTAGGCTGCAGCCCACACTCTGGGACCCTCCCACCTCACAGATTTCTAGAGCCCAGGCTCTAGTCCAAGCCCAAACATGTACACTGTATTTAAATAGCCCCTTAGCCCAAGCCCCATGAGCCTGAGCCACCTTGCATGGGCCAGCCACAGCTGTCTAATTGTGGTGTAGACATACCCTCAGTGCACGAACTGGAGAGAGCATAGGTGGTTATGCCATGCTGAAACTTCTTATTGCCACCCCAAAGAAAAGTTGACACTTATTTTTTCACGGTAACATCATTTAAGAAAACCATTGGCTCAAAGACCAATTATTGGAACTGCTTCTCATTTACACTAAGGCCCATCCACTGCTTTGTCAGTGTAAAGTGGACTTAAAGTAAGCATACTTTAAAGTTACACACCCTTTAAGGTCCCTTTATATTTCCAGAATGGTGTAAACGGGTGTTAGTGTAAATGAGAACCAGGCCCATTAGGAATACAGGGTAACTACCATTATTCAATCAAATTTACATCACTGTAATAGAAATCCAGGTGAATGTACAGGCTTTGTCATTATTGTATAAACTTAAAAGATCAAAATTAATAATAGTTATGCAAAAATATTAATTCTTCAGCAGTTCGTAAGAATCTGTCATTTAATTTTCCATTATTGGTATTTGCAGTGGAGCTGACATAGCAGTTTTAAAGCAGCTAATGCTCATTAATTTGCTTTTTTTTTAACTAATATTATCAGTTTTTTTCCTGCCAGTGTGTTAATGTTTCAGCTGAGCCTGTTTAGCATTCCCATCTTTATTTGTTTCTGGGGAACGCAGGTAGCAGAAGATATTATTGCATTGTCGTAAATTCTGGCATCACATTATTATTTTGGAGGTATTTTACAAATATATTGAATAGGACTAGCCTTTGTTCTTTTTCTTTTCTAATGTCAACTTCACATCTTAGCATGGTCTCCAGGTGTAACAGATACTTCTTGAATTTAGAATAAGCAAATGTAACCCTTCTGCCTGTCAGAGTTGGCAGCAACAAGGGCCGGGTTCAGTATCTAGGGGTTCCATTCCAATAACACAATGCAAAACCGGCTCAAGCCCCTACCCAGTGACCTGGGACAAATATATACCACCCCCGCTGGGCGCCTCCAAGAGGCAATATTTCACCTCTCGCAAGCACATAGTCTGAGTATAGCAAAAAGCCTTTTAATAACAGAGAGAAACAATGTGGCATTATGTTGGGGAAACACCACCAACAGGATTTATAACACAACCCATGAGCAAAAAACCCATCCCAAGCAAATTGGGGCATGTCCTTTCCCTTTGGTTCTTGAGTCCAGCAACCCAAAATCACCCAAAGTCCCAAAAGTCCAATGACCCAAAAGTCTCTGTCCCTGATCAGGGCAGCCCCAGAGTTCAAAAGTTTATCTGCAGAGTTTTACCTCCCAACCTGGGTGGAGATGGGGGGGGGGGTTAAGGGGCACCTTACGTGGTCCAAAGCTGATGGCCCCACCTCTCCATGGGGCTCCGCTCTGCCAGCCGCCCCATAGCTGCTCTAAGCATCCAACAAAACTGCTCTGCTCAACCAGCCACTCCACTTGCCGTCCCTCAAACTGCTCTGCTCCACCAGCTGCTCCGCTCTGCTCGCCATCCCGCAAACTGCTCTGCTCTGCTCCACCAGCCGCTCTGCTCGCCGTCCCACAAACTGCTCCACCATATATCTTCAGGTTCCCCCACTACTTAACACAACACTCAGTGATTTCAGCTCTTAGTAAGTTTAGCTCTTTTGTGATTTCAGCTTGTAGTAGGGGAGCCTCAGTGCTGGTGCACCATTAGCCCAAAGCGAATTCAGCTCAGCAGCCTGTAACTAGACACCTAATAGAATCAAAATTAGCTCTGATATTCCACAGTGGAGAGAGGAGGAAGTGCAATTAGCATGTAAGACCCTCACCAGGGGGGCCCATGCCACCAAGTATTAATACCTGTTCCCAAGTCACAGAGTTTTGGAACCCATGTCCCTTGCCTAGTGAGTGCTACTTAGTTGATGGCGAGTCCCTCCATCATAACAAAAGGCCAAGTACAGTTCCACTGTCCTTGATTCCCATAATCAGGGTAATAACAATTTATTCTTCCTTCCCTAATAACAGAGACACTGGGGATCCCATAGCAGCCAAAGTGACCATTTGGGCAGCTATGGCCTCATTCTAGGTGGGGTGGGTGTGCCTATGCAAATGAGATCAGCCCCTGAAGTGCTTTTCCACAACTTGCCACACCTCACCACCAGATGTCAGGGTGGAGCTCACACAGAGCTCACACAGAGCTCGTGACTCTGCTTACACAAAGATAATAGACCAATTTCTTATTCCTCTTACTAGGTCAGTTGGTTAGACTGGAGAAAAAAACATTGATTCAATGGATAGATTAGTCTTCACATTCTTCCACAAGTGAAAAGTCATGATGATAATCCTGCTGTGTGAGAGTGCAGAGCTGTGATATTTACTGGGATGGGGCTTCTTTTGAGATACAGACAATTTCTTTAAAAGACAGTGGATTTTCATTAATTTAAATGGCAATGAAACTCATGGTGGAAAGATTATTCGACTTTGTAGAAAATAACTGTATTAATTCAGATGTTAATCAGTAGCTTAGCTGCATTGATTAGATAACAAATTCTTAAATTGTGTTAAAGCCACAGGATATAGATCGGAATAATGGCTTAATTTGTACAAGCTTTTCACTTTCAAATCCACTCTGAAGATCTTTAGTTCCTGCTGCATGCAATCACAGGTGGGCTGATGTAAAGATAACACAAGCATATGGAGCTCATCATGTCTAGTAAGAAGCCTTTCATGTAGTCCTGAGGTTGCTGATAAAATTCCTGATAGAAGATGACTGATATGCCACAGAACATTTATTCAAGTAAAGCAATGGAGTATATTTACAGTATTTCAAAGTCCCAGATACTTTCAAAGCCCCTGAGTTTGTTTTCTTTCCACCCTATTTCAGTGTATTCATGTGTGGTGTGTAATACAACAAACCAATATAAATTTTGCCTATTGAGAGTTTTCTTTCATCAAAGTCTTATTTTGATATTTTAAAGGGATGTTTGTGCACCATCAAAGAAAAGCCATGTTACTTCATCTGTAATAAAATTTGTACGGTGCTCTTAATCATTATTCTCTTCAGAATAAGGGAAACCTGACAATGTATTCAGATGAATTCATATGGTGGCCAAAGAAGGTGTGTTCGTATAGAAACATCATAAAGGATTAGAATGTTTTGTTCATTATTTCATTATGGAATCTTCATTTAGCGCAGGATTATGAAAATCTTATTTGCAGTACCGGTGTTCTATTACCTGAGTCACCAGTTTCCTTGCTGCATTGTTTCCTCTCTTGTGTCCAACTTTTCTCCACCTGTTCATGGGCCATTTGGAATTTTTTATGAAGCAAAAATATTTGGGAATCAAACCTCATTTTGTAGAATGTTGGTCAAATATATTGCTGTTCAGAAATACTTTTCATATGTAGCTAGCTAGTTTGTTTCTACCAGGAAGTGGTAATTTTAGTCAACACTCAAAGTAAATTTGAGAAAGTATTGGAAAAAGTGTGGAAATTTAGTGGAAAGACTCCTGTTGACTTCAGTGGACTTTGGATGAGGGCCTTAAATATTGTAGCAGAAGACCAAACTTTGGGGAAGAGCACAAAGAGTTGAAGCGATACACAGCTATTAAATTACTAGATGCAAGTACTACAGAGTAGGAGTGAGGAAAAAGGGAGGAACAGTGCAAACCTTCATTTGAGAGGAAAGTAACTGGAAAGTGACACTTGGTAGGGAATAAGAAAAGGAGTACTTGTGGCACCTTAGAGACTAACCAATTTATTTGAGCATGAGCTTTCGTGAGCTACAGCTCACTTCATCGGATGCATACCGTGGAAACTGCAGCAGACTTTAAAGTATGCATCCGATGAAGTGAGCTGTAGCTCACGAAAGCTCATGCTCAAATAAATTGGTTAGTCTCTAAGGTGCCACAAGTACTCCTTTTCTTTTTGTGAATACAGACTAACACGGCTGTTACTCTGAAACTTGGTAGGGAATGGAACCAAAAGTTATCCAGAGAAATATTTTTCTCTGTGGCTAAGCTGTCTTTGCTTTGGAAACTTACAGTTTCTCAGGCAATCGGCATCTGGTTTAAGTAGTTTACTGTAATTCTTCCTTCTTTAATCTTTCTGTTCTGTGAAATCTATTCTCCCGTTAATACACACACATGCAACATTCATTAAAGTGTGGATTTGAAAACCAAGAGTCTGATTTTCAGCTCCTAATTGGGTGCACATTTGCAAGGGATGCACCTTTCTAGCCACACATGCACAAATCAATTATTTTCACACATCCATCCACATATATACATGCAAAAATATACATACCAACTTACACCTAAAATTAATTTCTTGTCCAAAATCATATCTCAAAAGCAAAGAAAAATCTGTAGATGCCTTTATGAATATGACTAACTGGGTATTAAAACCATTTCTT